TTGGGTCACTGTTCCTTCTTCTATTATGCAGCCAGTGATTGACAGGCAGGGCAGCATAAGTAATGAGCCACTGGAAACTTCTGACCTTTACTGGGCGTATTGTTTTGAATTTCGTCCATGGGACTTTGGGAATTGGGTTGGCCTTGTCTCCTGTTAGCCAAAGGTTATCCACACTGATGCTGAGCTAGTGATTAACCTTTGCCTATTTTCTTTTGTGAGCCCAAACCCTGAGTGCTGAGCTAGTGACTAATTTATATACTCTTTAATAGTCTTTATGCTATTAGTAAATTTAGTATACTATTCAGTCTATTATTCTTCTGCTGCTGCTGTTGTGTTTTCGCTCTTTCAGAGTTTCCCTCTGAACTGAACTTCTTATTGGCTCTCCAGAATTGTAAGCAGCCTGCAGTTTGACCAGGCCTCAATGTATTTTCGAAAATATTGAACGAAAATCCTGGCAGGAGTGAGGGTGCCAATGTGGCAACACTCACAGTCAAGGTTGATTCCATGAAATCAAGGTAATCTGACAGATCATAGTCTTGAAATTTTGAACAAGACCAGGGTGTTTGAACTTTCAATGAATGGAAGAAAAAAGAGAGATCATAGATCTTGAATTTCTGAACAAGACCATGATGTATGAACTTCGAAACAATGGCTTCCATGCAGACTATGAGTGCAGGAAAGTATGTCCAAGGTAATCCAAAGTTCCTTGAGGAGGTTACCAAATGGCAGAAAAAATTGGCTGGAGTAGATCAGGGCATTCAGACGTGGCTTCAAGTGCAGAAGAAGTGGACAGCACTGGAGGCCATATTTAAGGGCTCAGCAGATATTCGCGTCCAACTTCCAGACGACAGCAAACGCTTCGATGGCATTGATGCTGATTGGAAGGACCTTATGCAGGTAGTTTGCAAAACATGTCAATTGGTTGATTTGTGCAATCCACATCTTCTCTTTCAACTTCTTACAGGTCCACCCAACCCAACTGGATATGGGGAGTCACTGGGGATTCCGTGGGAATGAAAAATAGAAAATCAAATCAAGAGGATTTTCCTGAATTCAAGAATCAAGATTCTGGGTTATCGAGGCGGGCCCTAGAGGAGTTTTTTCGCGCGAGCGCCGTTCGGTGAGCGCTAACGCACGCGCCAACTTTCAAAGTTTCGCGCCTCCAAGAAAGCGTGACGGTTCCACGCGACGCCCGTCGCCCGCCATAGCCGCCCTCGGGCAAGTGCTTCCCGTACAGTTAGGAGAGACACGAACGTCGCCTCCGCCTGCCGCNGGTTCCACGCGACGCCCGTCGCCCGCCATAGCCGCCCTCGGGCAAGTGCTTCCCGTACAGTTAGGAGAGACACGAACGTCGCCTCCGCCTGCCGCGCCTYCGRGCGYGGCCACGAGGTTATATCAAGGAAGGAGGAACCACAATTCCGATTCCTTTCTTCGGGCCAAGTGTAGATGAGAAGAGTGAAGTCGCAAGAGGTTCCCCTCGTCATCGCCGRCGCAAATTGGTGCCATCGCAGAAAGTGGGAACACAGACATCGYTGTTGACTGACGYGCCGACAGGCACGRCAATCAGGAAGAAGTTYACCTGGCTCGGCAATGTTTCGACAGCAAGGACAGAAGTACGATTGATTTTGTTTCAAGAGAAGCTTCAACCCTCATACTGCGCCAACCACCAATCAGCGGTYCCACAATCGGAGTCGATAAGTRTTCCCACTGTCGCCTACTAACCCAAGCCCCCTATCCCGTCCCCGATCCTGTCCTTGTCTGTTCCCCCTATCTCTTGCCATCATCCCCCACATTCTCTTTCCCTCTCCTGTGTTCCCCCTCGTCAGGGACGCCAACCATTCCAACTTGTTCCCCCACCCAACCGTCAACAACCTGGCCCTTTCCCTCCAAATTAGTCCGACTCTCAACCCCAAGCGGACTTCTTTTTACCCATCCGTATCCTCTCTCTCCCCCCATCCCTTCCCCTTCCTTTGATAACCACTGAACAATCCTCCCCCTTCACACCCAGTCAGGGGAATCCTGTCCTCTTTCCGAGTCAGACCTTGATCCCGCCTCCATCCCGGATCAATCCGATCCTTAGATTAGGAGTGAGATATAGATCCTGGCCCGGATCTGGTTCTTCCCCCTCCCCGATCCAATATCCATCCAGTCTCCATCCCTCCCCGTTTCCAACCCCGACCCCCGATCTAGATCGAATTCCGATATAGATCCAGATCCTTCTTTCCTTTACCTCGTCTCCTGACCCAGTCCCCATTCAGATCCCGTCCTCGCCATTCCCCATTCCAAATCCAGTTCCCAAATCCAGTTCCCACCCCCTTCTCTTTCCCATCGAGCCAGATTGAACCCGTCCTTCCCTGCCCARAGCATTTACTTCTCCCGACACKGATCCCTTACAACCCSGATCCRGATCGGGTCCACGATCCAACTCTTGGCCCAGATCCTGATCCTCTCCCTTTACCCCCTTCACGTCCTCTTCTTAATCAACGAGTGTCTCTTCCACCCCTATCTCTCCCCCCAACAATAACCCGTCCCGTTCCAAACACTCATTCTTCCCGATCACGTCTATCATYTGTCATACACTCTTTCGCCCCGCCAGATTGCCCTTCACCTTTTCCTACACCACGACCACCCGTTCCGTCCCCAACCCACTCTTCTCAACACCACGGCGTGTAAAGAACTCGAACACCCTGCCTTCCACTCTATTAAGATGACATTATAACCTTTGCTTACCATCCATCTCATTTCACGTTTTGCCATTTCGCCGATCCCCCCTAGATCCCAAAGATCACCCCTCTCCTACATAGCAAACGATAAGGTGATATCCAGACTAAGATACTCCCTACTTACCTGCTTAAGATCGCTTCTGCCGATTGTGTCTTATACACGGGCCCCAAGCTCCCCGGGTAGGGAGACGAAACGCTTTACATCTTTTACCAGTCCTCGTGGTCTACGAAACCTCTGGCTGTGAATTCTGTATGCTGATCCCCAAAACACATCCCTGTCAAGCCTGTCAAGCCTTTTTGCGTTCCCCAGGAGGCAAACGTTAGCCCCGCCATTTCTTTTACTGATTCCTCATTGCTAGCACGATCACCTAACGAGGAGCGAAGCCCTGTCCACTTTCCAATTCTCTCCACACAGATCACGCTCCCCAGGCGGGGAGACGAAGCCCTGCCCCTGTCACCACTCATAGTATCTGATTTCAGACCCCCGACCCTTACCTGGTCATACCCCAACCCCAAACACATCCCCAATCCATTCCCTACACCTCGATTCAACCATCCAGCCTACGTCCCCATCCCCCCTCCACAAGAAAACTACCGCATACCAACCTCCTTCCCGCCAATTAGCCCGCTAATTAGCCCGTTCCTCCTCCTTTGACCCTTAAAACTTTGGACCTGTTCCCCCCCCGTCATCGAACTCAATACCTGCGATAACCAATTATGACCTTCGCCCCGAACCCCCCACCACTTCAATCTACATCTAGAAAGGACACTGACAGACAGAAGCTCCGATCACTGACAACGAAGATGGCAACTCCAACACCAGGCACAGGCACATCAGATCAGATGGGAATGGGAACGATTCCGAACACTATCGACAATGAAGCGCTTAAATTCCTAATACAAATGATAAAAGTCCCAGGGATTGAGTCAACTGGGAAGCAGATCATAGAGGGCAAAGAAGAAGAGGTAATCATCTGGAAATACCCAGAGGAAAAAATCGTCGAGCTGGACGACATGCATGAGAAACACGGGGTAGTATTCAACTTCGGCCGCAACAGTATCCTGGTTCTTTTCATCCACGAGGATCAGGCGAGGATTGCAAGTGAAATGCAATCCAGGAACTGTCATGGCTCGGTTTGCACAATCACTCGCTGGAAGAAACGCACAGTTCAAAGACAAAGCCCAGCTTTTGCTGTGTCCTACAAACAGACCCTACTGAAGGAGAACTTTTGGGTACAGTTTGACAACATCCAGCCGGGCTTCCATGGCTTATTAGTTGACAGACTTGAAAGACAGTACACAACCAACAAGTTCCTGAAATGGATCCTTCCGACGCCAGACTTTCTAGCCCCACACTGCGGATCGATGACAGCGATCCTCGATGTACAGACGGACGAGCCGCCTGTTTTTCCTCCAGCATGGAAATTTCAGATTGAAGACAGACTGATTGAGGTGAGAATCTCAACACGCACATCTCCAATATGTTTCCGCTGCAGAGAGAGGGGTCACCTGGGAACCGATCAAAGATGCCCCAAGTTTCCCAAGCAAGCAAAAGAAAGGAAGTTACCGAATATGCTGGCCGAAGTCGAAGACGCTCCAGGAATCTGGTATGTGGCGGACCCATCCTACGATGGGTGGGTCTTCGACGATAACCTGGACGAACCAGCCTGGGTCTGGCATTTCGGTGATCAGAACCCATCAGTCAAAAAACCCGACATTTTCCCTCCCGCTGATAGTAGGTGGCAGAAGAAGGCGACCGAGAAAGTAAGAGGCAACCCAACAAAGATCAACACAAATCCGATCACGGACTCAAGAGTGATCAGAGAGGAGAAAGCAAGGGAAGATATGTTGTGGGACCTAGAAACGATCAGGGAACAGATTGAGCAAGAATTCAACAAGGAACCAACCTCATTCAAACGTGCGCTGAAACAAGCAGAACAATTAGAATTTCAAACATATAAGAGGAAGAGCAAATCCATAACAGATAACAAGCGCCAACTTCAAGAACATGAAGGATTGCTAGCAAAGGAGGCAGGCTCAAAATGAAGAAAAGCTAGTGAAAAGCTGGAGCCAAGGAAGCGGGAATGACAGACGGGGGGCCGAATGAAGAAGAGATGGACTTAGACTCAAAGGGTAATGAGGCGGATGATGAAGCGAAAGGGGGTAACAGCACACCCGACTCAAATTCGGCAGAAGAAGAGGATCGGTCCAGGCAGTCTCTGACCTGGCTTCGAGACTATGTTGAGAAGGCAAAAAGGGAGCGCGAACATGCCTTTGACATTCGAGTGGCCTGCCTGAAACATGCAAAAAGATCTCAGGTTAATGGCAAGAAAAACTCAATTTCAGGCTTCAGCAACTCAACCAATCAGTATGAGATACTCAAGAAGGAAAAGGCTGAGGAATTCTCAGAATTTGCAGCCTTCAGATATGCAGAAAAGAAAAGGGCAAGAGATCAAGGAACAGTGGACAAAGACAAGACCATCCCAACAATTAGTGATAACTTCCAAGATCTGCGTCCCAAAGCAAGGAAAACTGGGAAAAACCAAAAACGGAAAGAAGCCAACAACGAGCAAATGGAGATCGAGGAGAAATCGGAACGTGCCCTGCTTGAAAAAGAAGTTGCGGTTGTGCTGTCCCAAACTGAGAAATTGAGAAGGTGGAATAACGAATATGCCCCTGAATTCACTTCCATTTCTCAGGTTGCCCAAGGAGAGCCCCCCGCAGTGATAGAGGCAGCCAAAGCGGCTCGCAGGACAATGAGGAACATCCGTCCACTGATCGCTGCCCGGTACGTAACGAAGGCAAACGAGTGGCAAATAGCTACTGATGTCGCTTTCAAGATCCCCCACTTTGTGGAGGGGGATAACGTGATCAAGGTCCTCAAAAGGAAAATAACAACTGAGGCACCCTTGGGTCTATTTGAGACTATCACCACGACAGATGCCCAGTCCCTCTCTGACCAACAAGAAGACGAATCGAGTAGCCAATCCACAAGGGCCTTTTCTCCTCTTAWCGCAAAAATGCCAGAATCCACACAGYTGAGTCCAGGGAYGTTATGGAAACCCTGGAGGACGGTAATCGAGGTTCCCTACAGCATCCTGGCTGACACAGGAATTTCAGCTGAACTGCTTGCTACAACTGTGTCCCAGCTGATTAACTCAGRGCAACTGGACGGGGACGAGGACTTGGAAACCAAGGCACACCCGATTGACTGTGACAGATTCTACATGAGTGATGCCTCCGATGGCGAAGCATGGGACGATGTTGATGAGAAGGAGGGGTCAGATCAGCTCCATGGGTTAGAGAAGACTAACAACGATCATTCAGTCTTGGATGGGGCTGTCACGAAGGGAGACACTACGTCTCCCTCTCCCCCGACTAGTGGACTTGGGACCGATGGGGTATCTCAGGGTGGGGTCACGGACAAGGATAGCTCCCCCACCTAAACATTCCTCCTCCATTTGAGGTAATCCTAGTCAACCCACTCRTTGAGTAAGGCCTGTTGGTACACATGGCTACTGGCATGGACAACKACAGAAAAAGAGCGAATGAGATTAGAGACCACTTCGACTGGAGGGACCAAGGTTTGACCCTGAGATGCTGGAATGTCAACGGCCTAGGGAACGTTGTGGAAAAATAAGAAAAATGGAGTGACCTGTTAGCCGGATTTTCGCAAGGCAAAAAGAAGATAGCAGATATACTATTGATTCAAGAAACACACCTTACTTTTTCTGCGGAACACAACAAAATTCGCACGGTTGTAGCAAGAAAACTAGGTGGCTTGAAGGATGAAATCTGGTCTGCAGATCCCGCAACAAGCACCAAGGGTACTGCCATTTTAATTCCCAACTCCTCCCACCTATACAAGGCAGGCGCCATCTTAGATAAGAGGGCTGACCAATCGGAAGGAAGATGGTGCTTACTCCATTTAAAATGGAAAGAAGAAGAGTTCATTCTCATTAATGTTTATGC